AATGTGTACCTTTTGGTGGCAGCAGTGAGCAAACTCAATTTAAATGCCATTCCGTGTCTTATTTACTCATCTTGCCCATGCCTATTTGCTTTTAAGATAAGCACAATCTATGCAAGAGTCAATCGCTCTCTCGTAAACACTGGTGTTTGTTCTCTTTATTGTTAAAACGCAAACAGTAGTTCCGATTTTGTAGAAACTGTCTGTCCATCAAACGAACAGACTTTGCTTTATCGTTAGTAGATGGACGCAGAATTTGCTTTGGAATCTGTTAACCAGCAAGTTGCAAAGAGTAGATGCATGCAACTTTTGTGTGTCAATTTATGGTCTTTCATTAGAGTTATATGCTGGTGTTCTAATTTGGAAACTATGAAAGTTTGCTATGGTAAGTCAGAAGGAGGGCGCTAACGCACCATCGTACCTCTATGCGCGGCATCTCTCATTTGAAATCACGCATGCTGGTAGAATTTTGGTCAGGATCAGTACCTAAGAGATACGTTAGTGCATTAGTGCCTACACGATGTTGATTTGCATACACCATTTCGAATTCTGCCTAGATAAAGTAGCAAGGTGATTTACGTTTTTTACGTACAATATGTTTAGGCGATATAGGATTTCTAACGGAAACCCATGAGGCCTTGAGCAAGAAAGGTGCCCTGTCCATCTCTTTTGGCTTCATTGTTGTTACGACACCTTCACTTAAAGCATTCAACAATGAAGCACAACTGTCTCAGGGTGCGCCAACAATATCGCGACATTCAATTTTTTTCTTAGGCCAAAGAAAGTTATCCACCATTTGTTATTTCTTATCCACTTATCGTTATAATACCTCGTGTAACACTGTACGGTCTTTCAAATGTTTTGTGTACTAAGCGTAGGAAGAATTGCAAGACGGCGCTCAGCATTTGCGTCACATCGGCGACATAAAAAGCCTATTGTTCCCAAGCCTCCTGTTCGACCTGGTATTGATACATTTAGGCTCTTTGCTAAAGCAAGTTTTGCGTTTCCGACATATGAAACTGAAAGATTTATAAAAGTTACAACTGTGGCTGAACATTTCCAAAGAGTTCGTAGCCATACTGACCAGTCTGTGCACCTCTGTCCTAGTAGTACAGCCACAACCTCGCCCTGTATAGATGAAAAATTGAGGTCAACCTCGGTTCTGGCCTAAAACGAGAAAAATAGTTCGTTGAAAGCGTATCATAAAGGAAATTTCTCGATGTATTTTGATATGCGTTTCTGTCAAATTCTTTCGTGGATAACCATAGACCATAAATTGTCTTTGGTCTATTTGCTTTCCCCCGAGGCAAACAGAAATGATACGCCATTTATTTCCTTGTTTTTTCCACAATCTACGACTACAAGGAATCAATGGATGCTGAGATTTTTTGGAGGGGTTTAGAGGCGATAATTCTCTTCAAAAAGTCGGTTGAGTTTGTAGATTTATATAACACAGGAGGTCTACTTTCTTGGTTCAGTAAAATGACTTTCTATCTTACTTGGTTCAGGTTACTTTTGGTAGAAGACGATATGGCTACCACAAGTGCGGGTCTGAATTGAGGGAACTAGAATCTGTTGCAGTTACTAACAATCTGGGGGTGAAATTGGTTGTTTTTCTTGGAAATGGGATTTGATAAGCTTCTCATAAGCAGCTCAAAATATATTACAATGCTATCAGTGGTGTAGTGCTATCTAAATAACAAGGGGCGCTCTTGCCAAAATGTTGCGAAAACAATAGCAAAAGAAGAGATTTGCCAATTTTCGGCATTAACAAGGGGGGCTGAGTCCCCCTGAGCCCCCCCTAGCTCTACACCCCTGAATGCTATATATTTTTTCGTTGTCCCTTTTTAAAAAAACGTTCACTGCTTCCCTCAATACATAACTTGGCAAATGCGATTGAGGAGAACCTTCCGTCTTCAGCCTTTTACTTTGCTTGAAAATTGCTTACTAAGGTAAGAAATAAGATGCTTAGAAATAAGACATAGTAGATGCCATATTTCAACGACGATGGAATCTCCTCTGGCATTTGGAATTCAAGTCACGTTTTCATAGCAAATAATTAGGCCAGCCCTCGCTTATGAGTTTGGCTTCTAATCTCACGGAAAAATGCTCGCCGTTTTGAGTTTTTGTTGTTTTGACGCAAATAGTAAGCGCCGGTACAGCGTCCAAACCAAAATATTTGCTAATAGCCATTATCGCTTTTCGGCTACTCGCCTCAGGAAGTAGAAACAATTTCTATGTGCCCGTGATTTGTTGTTTGCTGAAAATCTCCGGGTATAAAACCGAACGCGAAAACAGTCGTCGTACGCTTTCATGGTGAACAGTGGCAGAAAAGTCTGACTTGCTTGACTGGAATTTGTGTCGGCTGGACCTGGAAAGCTTGAATTTGTTGTTTTTGCAAAGTTTCATTGTAAGTTTACACAGTTCTGTTCAAAAGATCTTGCTTTTTATGCAGCTAAATCACTTTTGCAGGTAACCATGTATGCAACAAATTGCAAGTTGTATGCGTGTAATTTATTTTGCAGTTAGCACTGCTGTTTTGTAAAGAATTATGCGAGCCCTTTTTTCAATAACGTCCATATTTTATTCTAATGCAAGAGTCACATGAAACACAGCCCTTATTGAGGGTAGCTCCATCGTCTACATAAAGTGACGTTTCAGCCCCCGTTGTAAACAAGAGGTTTAAGAGCAGTTGTCAAATCGATTTCCTGAAAGGAATACGTTAATGAGTGCTTTAATGTTAATACACAGTGGTTAATAAAGGAATCAGTATTATTTTCATCGAAATCTTGAGGTTTCTTCAGCCTATCAACTGTTTTTATCTGTACCTGGCTTGGCAAACACAAATTATATGTACTATAGCCTTCTCTAATGCCATTTCTTAGAAGCCACCGACCTACATTCACTGCCTAAAGCCAACATGAAGACATATTTGCAATGCAAAAGTTTACAGGGCGCCTCCCCCCTTTTTTTGCAAAACAAAGGGGCTTTTTCAAAATATTTTCTCATGAGTGTTTTGTTAAGTTAGGCCTAGCGTAAAGCTTCCCAGTCGCCCGGCGGTTTTTTCCATCCTTTATTCTACACGTTTTGCCTTCTTATTACGTGCTCTTTGATAATCCTGTATTCAAACAGAGGATTCTCTGATTCAAACAAAGGCGGTGGTCGAGAAAAGATGGGTTGTTACAGAAGTATCGGCACCAATCCCGTCAGGCACCAATTCAACTCTTAAATGCGATCATTTATTCCCACATATAATCCAATTGCTTTGTACCATACTAGATTCGTTTAAAGTCAAATATCTTTACAAAATGTTATTCTTCGTATGCAGTAAGATAACTGTAGGGATGCCTGTGATGTGTTAGTAATATGACATTGAATACTTCAAAGAGAACACATGTATTTTATGATCAACCATGGACTATGTTAAGGATTAAGAAGCCTAATTCATAATAATAAGGATTGAGATTCAATATTTGCTTAGTAGGGGACCGCTAAACATGCCCAAAGCTGCGATCAAGGCGATTTATTATATGTTTTAAGTACATATTGGAACTTTGAGAAGCTTGCCCCCCTCAGCTCATGTTTCCGTAGTACCTAGAAAAGGGGGGCCGTAGAGGAGTAGCCGCATGCGTCCATCCTCTGCACTCCCGGTTGTGTTCTTTTTTAACACATGGTATTGCTTGGGAACCAACTGTATCGACAGCCCAAACAAATACGACGAATTCATTTCTGTGTACTGTGGTCATTGGGCTTGAAAAACGCATCCAGTTTACGTCATCAGCTCTGCCTCCGTCAGCAGGCTGAGCTGATGCAACCGCGGCAGCCGCAAGCGCCGTAACGTTTGATGACCGCAAACAAATTCTGAGATACAATTTTTATTTAAATGACACGTTAAGTCACGACTGCATTTTGTTAGTCATCTTAATCATACTACCAAATATCTAACGCATCTAACGGGTAAAGGGGGGGGGGGGGGGGGGTTGACACTCCCACTTTTCTGGACCACTTCCCTCTAAATGTCCCTGTAGGTAATTTTTCCTAATCATACCCTTCGATTATCAGATAGGTCAAGGTACACCACTATCCGTTTGATTTTCATTCCTTGCACTAAGCATAATTTTCGCGACATAAATGTTCCCGAAAGCATCCCGATTTACTTTTGCGCCATCATCAAAAGTTTAACCACTTCATTTGAAAAAGACCTGCGCTTTCCAAAAACAGGTTGCCACTCCCCATGATTCGCTAGTATTTACATATTTACATGTTTTTGTAAAATCGTCTTACATGAATTTTACTCATTCATGCTAGAACATATCATTGTCTTAGACTTCCTGATATTTTCCAAGGCATAAGAAAATATTTCCTCGTTAACCAACAAGATTTCCTCCGTTGTAATTTATGCTTCCAGTTTATTGTTTCTTTTGAAAGACGAAGCAGTTGATAACGGTTGCTAGAATGATCTTTGTACATTTAACGAATGCCCCGAATTTTCTCCAAAGCTTTTAACTGTTCTGTACGTATTGAATCGGTCTTTACAGTAATTCCTCGAGTAATTCCCCAGGGGCTTATTTTTCATGAAAGAAAATGAAGCAACCATAACGAAAGACTTTGAAAAAAATTATTTTGTTTGTAAAAAAGTGAGGGGGGGGGGCAGTACACTTTTAGAGTGGCTGAGTGTGTTAACCCACTTCAATATGTTTTTGTCATGGCGACGCGCTTATACCCATCCTTTTTTATGCCCCTATTCGTTCTGCACACTCGTTATATGCTGGTGTGTATTATTCTTTGTTACAAACCTTTGTGAAAAACTGCCAAATATCGAACTTTGACTCTCAATGAATGGATACAGTGTTTTAACCCTTTTCATCACAAGCATCTCTAATTTCAAACGAAGCCTTGCTCTTTCAAGCTAACCTTCTTTCCAACCTTAATGCTCGGTTTGCCCATTTTGACATTTGACTATCAGATTAATTGATTGTAATATATTCTTTCTATCTTCTCAGTGCACAATACTATAAAGCCTGCAACTTCGGAAAGCAAGAACGGGCGTGTTTTGGATGGAACAGCAGGAGGTACTGATGTCGTAGCACCGTTTTCAGAGACAGTCACGATGACACCACGACCAGGACGATCACCAAACATGAAGTTAGAAAAACGAGCCTCCATGAGCCAGCTATTAAATCAGTTAAAAGATCGCTTGCCTGGAAGAAAAAATAAAGGTGCGTTACTCTTGCATTCGTATCATTCTACCGAATTGCTCTTTATTTGAGGAAGATACTTGAAAGAAAATTTATGGTGCCAACTTTGGTGATCGCTGTAAACAGAAACACCACCGAACATTTGTCAATGAAGTTTAAGATCAAGGAATGAAGTTCAGACCTGTGTACCTGAATAGCTTTATAAGAAAAACTGGGATGAAATCGAGTTCTTCTATTTTTTTATGTATCTGGAGTTTTCCTTCCACCAAAATTTTTCCATAAAATACTTAGATCCTTGTAAACATGGAACATCTGCATTTTTCGTTTTTAAAGGTGAGGTATTCGTCCCAGCTGTAGGTAGTGCCGAGCTTCTTGTTTGCAAAGTACAGAGAACATTTTCGAAAGCACATTGCTTCAGTCTGCAAATTTTTCATCAGAGTCTGGGAATTTTCCAAAGTTGTTCTTTTGGCTGGTCGAGCCTCGGTGTAATTCTAAAGTATGTTTGGGGGGCTGGAGCCTCCCAAAAGATTGTCAAACTGTACTATATTTCCTTTATAATAGTAACCTGAATTGGAAGCAATGCACTGGACAGCCCCTAATAAGAATTTCGTTCCGACAACACTGTACATGGGTATGTCTACAGAAACCGCTTAACATTGATTGTATAATTTTCTCTAGGACAAAAGCGTGGAATTAAGAAAGATTTGACTGGCACAGACAACTTGGAACCATTATTATGGAACAACAATGGCAAGTGGAAAGAGCGGTGGTATGCCCTCTATGAAGGATGCCTGCTTTTCTATAAAGACTCTGCCTACAGATCACCAGACTTTGCTCTTGATGTTCGGGCTTGTAAGCTGGAAATCCCAACTGAGAACCAAGAGCAGGGGTTTCTTAGTTTTAAGGTTAGTTTCACTAGCCACCAAATCTTTTATCTTTTTTTGTATCCTCAAAATCCTTTGCTGATTTGCTTTTTATTCCTAATTGCGTGAGAAATTTCGGAACCATTCGATAGTGTGTCACAGGTTTTGGTCGAAAAGCCAATTGCAAAATTGGCTGGAGCTAAGTTGTTATAAATCCATATAAACTAGCTAGTTGGGGGCTGTTGACTTTATTATTCTGTGAACAATCCACCCTCAACCACCGATAAAATAGTCTTGCAGGAAGGTTTTTTTGGACTGGGAAGAGTCTGGATGGCAGTTTTCAAAAAGTCGTTATACTCTTCGAACTTAATGTTAAATTTATTGAATAGGCTGTCTTTGCAAAAATGAGGTTATGTTCGGAACTCTAACCAAAGATGAAATGGGGGTGATTATGCTGAAAGGAACACGCGGAAACCCTAGGGATAAACACTGATTTAGAGTAAAGCATTCTCATACGATTACCATTCATTTGTCGCTTCGTTTAATAACAGTTTGGTTTCAGAAACAACGCCAGAAAACCGCGCCTTTGTTGAGCTTATCCTTTCCCAAACAGGATAATGCCATTTGCAGAAATAGGCTTGCGTTCATAAAATTCTTCGATCTTGATTTATGCGCAATGAAAAGAATTACTGAAAAACCCCTCAAGTTCCCTGTCTAAATGGGCAAAGACCATGTTTGTAGGCAACATATATTTTTACACAATAACAGAGTAACTCTGATATGAATATGCTGTGACCTATAATTTATCTGGTGTTTAAGCATCTACGGCGTTTAATTCCAAAGTCTGTCCTCCGGACTTTGCATTCTTTAGAAGACTCGATCTCCCCTAGCTTTGTCTCGAATTTCCAGTTGATATTTCTGCACCAACGTTGCTTCTGAATACTGTGTGCTTTCCGAAGTCTAACGATCCCTTTCTGTATAAATTCCAAAGAACTGTCATTAATTCTCTGATTATTTGATGTAGGTTTTTGCTGTGTCCTACATGTTTTGATGACAACAAAGCTGTTACCTAAATTAAGAAAAGGGGCTTGTCCCTTATTTTTTCTTGCTGTTACTCTATGACATAATAGGAAGCAACAGGTTGGGTAAGATCAACACAGGGACCCCCTGAGGGGGTTATACTGTTTTTGAAGCTGAAGTCATTCTGCACATTAGTCAAAATTTCCAATTTTAAATTCCTTTTGGCCATATATATAAATAAAAAAGGCTTCAATTTTTCAATGGAGCAAGTTGATTGAACCTTTCGATACATTACTTGAAATGACTCCTTTGTTGGTCGAGAAAATGAAAAAAGTTTGTAACTTGCGCTCAGAGTTGCAATTACTTGACCCTTAGTTTATTATGAACTTTTTTAACCTCGTACTTTTTGTCAATACAGAATACCATCTGAAACGTTGGTACGCCATTTTATCTCGTTTTCAGCTGCTCGAAATAGACGGCAAAAGCCACGAATTGGCAATGTTGACCGAAGACAGTTATAAGGTTATCATTTCAAGCCTACAGAAGATCAAAGACTCAGGACGTCTGGCAGGTAAACATGAAAGCATTTATAATTTCTAATGGTAGGGGTTGATCCTGTTAAATGAAAACCTGTCTTGTGGCCCCACTTTTATCCCTGCGCACTAATTGAGCTAAACGTTTTTGAGTTGCTTGCAATATGGCCAATCTTCTCTCCAGCGAATCCTGCCCTTGTGTCAGGGACAGCCCTGTTACCAGCAAGAGGGTCTCAGCTACCAGGGCTTGTCCTATCTGCGCATAATTGCAATCTCAGCGAATAACTATCAAGATCTCGCATTTTCATGGACTAATAAGTCGCTATAAGGGGTATTCTTTGTTGATTTTATGGTTCATCCTTGTGTCTTTAAATGATTTTTGCTGGTTTTTAAACTCTGTACTAATAAAAAAATTTTTATTATCTTACTGGCTTGTTCAACCAGTCTAAAATGTCGTTGACATTTTTGGAAACTTCCCTTTATAAGACGTTACCTCGGTTTATAAGCTTCTTAAAGTTTTGTCGCTATTCACCACAGATAATATTGTTTTCTAATTTAATTTTGTCAGCAGAAATGTGCAGAACATTCTAAATTTTGATACCAGATATTCTACTTCTTTATTATCGGAAAAAATTGAGTATACATGTAGCCTGTTAATTATGTAAAATATGCCTGTTCTTGGTTTCATACAACTTTCGATCATGTGTATGGTTATCTTATCGAACGACATGAAAATCCCAAATCAGATACGATTGAAGATTAAAATAATAGAGTCGATTGTTATGTTTCAAGAAAAGTCGGAATGCCTACGCTATCAGTTAACGTTCTTGATAAATTTCAGTTTACAAAATTTCTAACATTCACGCTTTACCTGAAATTCTAGCCCGTCAGTCACTATGTCCCGTCATTCAACCGTTCAAATTAACAATAGACTTGCAGTGTGTTTAAAATCCAGAAAACATTGAAGGTTAGCCGATTGGCTCCGTAACAATAGATCTATTGTATAGTCTATTGAATGGCCAGTAAAATGTGTCGGGACGTAGTGCCTTAAATGCCAGTGTCTTTAATGTTTGTGGTTTCGTGATATCCAACTTTTTTTCTGCAAGATTGCTTTTTAATTTAAGTCATCAAAAGTTGAAATACATTTTCGGCTTTTCGAAGGATATTGTTGTTGTTATGAACCTTTATGGACCACCCTTCCCAGTGACACTAGGGAACATTTAATTACTTAAGTACATTTGTTTTTTGATAAGAAACTAAGCTTGAAATTACCTTACAGCTTCTTCATCTTTTGTGGATTTCCAGTGTTTAAAGTTTCTTAAAGGTTTTTAAATACCGAATGCCAAAAACATTTAGAAACTAAAAACATGAGAGAAATCGGGAATAATTTTTTTTTCAATTGCGCTGAAAATATGTACAATGCCTGCCAAAAGTCTTGGAATACTGACATCAATTTCCAAGGTCAAAATCAATCATCCCCTCTCCCCAACAGAACAATGTTGGTTTACTATCAAACGGGTTAGGATTTTAGGAAGCACTTTCTTTTGCACTTCTTTTATGATATTTCTCTAAATCATCAACATTATTTCAGGGGGAAGGGGGCGGAAGTACCAATTTTTTTTCATGAAAGGAATGAAAGATATCAAATGCAGCGTAAATTGCTGGGTGTTCCAAGTACATTTGGCAGGCATTGTACCTAATCAAAGAGACGAGTAATTTCAATCTCTCTTTGAAAAATGATTTCAAGCTGATTCTCTAGGTTCAGAGTGATCAGTTTCTTAATTTTATGGTCATTTTAGCACTCGGTCTTTTATAGATTGTTTTTTTGTAAGAATTGAGAAGTTTTTAAAATATAATTTCCTCACTTTAAGAAGGTATGAGCATTTCCCTCCTTTTGTAAACGTTGCATTATAACTAGCAATATTTTGGTATCAGTTTGATATGTGGGACCTTTCTTGACCAGATTCAGATCAAGGACTGTCACCTGGCAACGATGATTCGAATGGCCTAGAAAGAGATGGCATGACATTTGATGATGCTATTATACCGTACTCAGAAAGTGAACATTACCCACAGGTAATTTTGAAATTTTTCGAACGTAACTTGTTGTATACTTTTTGTATAATTCAGAGAAGTGTCAAATGGCGGTTATCTAGTTTCTGAGGACCCCCTCTAGCAACGGGCACAAGGTCATGCCCGAAAAATGACATGCAGGTCGCTAATGCCTTATCAAACAACAAAGACAACAGTAACGGAATTTTCCAAAGTCGGAAAATAACTTTGGTCATACATTTGATCCCTTGCGTATCCCCACATCTGCAAAAAGTGTTTTGTTTCTTTTGAGGACTAAACTAGAATGCTACCCTTTCTTTAGCTTGTGCCCTTTACTTGAAATTTTGGACCCTGGAACACTGGCTAGCGCTTCCTAAGCTAGCGCAATTGGGCGTTTGTCTAACCAAATCAAGTATGATTCAATTCATATTAAGTTTACTTTGAACCATCATTCAAGCCCTACATTTTCTGTTTTGTTCCCTTTAAGATTCATACAGGAGAAATTAAAACACAACGCGAAAAACACGAAAGCACGGACAGTGGAACAGATGGTGATATATCGTGTTTTGAAGGCAGTGATGCTTCCAATGTTGGCATCGATCAGTATGCAACCGACCGGAAAGATAAGGTATGCCTACAGTGGCATCTTTTTGCATTTCATCATTCCTGCAGCTTTTTGAAATGCCGACTATTATACTTTTAAAACCCCTATTGGTCAATTTGAAAGCAATCTTGTTTCATGGTTTCCTCTCTATAGCATAGCTAGAAAATCTATTTTGCATAAATTAGTTTAGAATGAATTCATGGAAGTTTTATTCTCGTCAAAACACGGTAGTATTCTGGGCACTGATCAATAACTTAAAGACTAAAATTTTACGAACATTAATTTGCAGAGAGAAATTTGATTTTAACTAAGAGATTAAGAAAATATAGTTTGCGTCACTTTAGAAGGTTTTATACGTCACTTTTGCAGATGGCAAGGCGAAGGAAGACAAGTTCAGCTCTTCCGCAACCCGTAGTCATTACAGAGCCAAATGTTCACGTGCAAGATTCAGAAGAAAACTCTAAGGGACGCGTTGCTAGCATTCGAAACACACATAGGCCAGTGGTGCATTGTGAATCAAGCCCACCGTCCCCTCGTAGCCCTGTCAGGCACAGATTTGAAACGGTTGACAAGGCAACAAAGGAAACACTTAGGCCTATCGAATATTTGAATGTGGAGGACCAACGAAGATTGCCTCGTAATCGTTATTCAATGCCAGTGTTTACCCAAAAGTCAGTGTTGACTTATGAAGAGTTCAATCGACAACGTCGCTCTTGTTTGGAAGAATTACTAAAATTGAAAGAAGCTCATGATAAAAACCAGTATCCGGACAAGGGCGGAAAATTTGATTATCAACGAGCCTCGTCTGTGTATGCTTATGGAAGGAAAAGTGCCGTTCTTGATGAAAATGATAATCATGCAGATGTTAGCTCTTTCGAGAAAATGTGTTCCAGCTACCCAAAGAGAAGCAGATCTTTCAAATTGGAAGCTAGCCCTTGTCCAGGCACGAAATTGACAGGCAACATGAAACATCGACATAGATCGATGATAAATAGTAGAGGTCTTTCTAAGTCCATGATTTTACCAACAGACGTTACGGATGCTCAAGATGTAACAGATGACTTGCAGGGTGATTTGCAACAACAGACGCTGTTAATGAAGCGTAGGAACTCCCTTAAGTTGAGAAAAGATGTCATCGATCAGAAGGTTAAAGCATTAAGAACAAGGGTGGGTAGAAGCAGTGCTGATGGAACAGACTCAGAAACTGCAGAGGAGGAGCAAAATTTGTTATTATTAGAAAACAAACTTAAAAATATAGAAAAAGAATTGCTTTTAATAAATAGAACGGCAGATATACCTCCAGAAAATGTTTTTAAGGAAGGAAAAAAGAAAAATAAGCAGCAATTATTTTCTAAATTCAAAAGTAACCAAAAGACTTCTCAAGCGAACCATAAAGCAAGCCATCAGCGAGACAATACGGACAAAGTTGTATCGAGCGAAAGCCTTAGCCCCGCTGTGAGGAAAAGGTCACTATCACATAACTTCAAACTTTTCAGTGCTTCAAAAAGACACTCTGATCTGAGTGATATGAGCATCAATAGAGCAAGTATGTCTTCACTCGATAGTTCTACGGATGGGACATTTGGTGTAAATGATTTCGTTCCTAGCCCGGCTGTTGGCTCAGCTGATTTAAAAAGCTCGGATGAATATAAAGTTGACTCTGTCCGCACCCGAAAAACGAGTAGCGTCAGTTCGGTATCGGAATTAGACGAGCCAGATGGAATGGGACATAACCAAAGTGCAAAGGAGGCGTCAAATACGACCGAAAATGGACTTAGCAAAGATGCTTTTTTGAAAATTGCGGTGAGCAGAGATTAGCGCCAAAATTTATTCTCTACGATTGATATTTTCTATTCGATAGCCTTTATGATAATCTTTAAGATAGCGTACCAAGATAGCCTCCTTTATATTACCCATACCACCTTTACCTGTGAAAAGTCGATAGACATGTTTGTGATGGATATTATGTTAGGAGACCTTGTAATGTTGTTTTAGCATTCTTCCCAAACAAGCTAAACATATGAACTATATAGGTGGAATTTTTTTGTTTCTCTTTAAAAAATTGTAGCAAAGGCAGAAGTATATACACATTTTGTCAAGAGCTCACTGCTTTAGGAATAGCTACCAACCCAAAAGGTTTTTAAAATTACTGATGACCTTTTAATTTATTTAAGCTTTTTTACTTCCTTAATTTACATTTCCGTGTTTATTTTCTAGGAATTCGAACAATTCGCTGTGGAAATAACGGCTAGACGTCTAACAGATTATGTTGACGTCTAAGGCGAATGTTTCTTAAGTTTCTTAAAAATTCTATAAAAACGTTGACAACGAGCCAGTCCATTAAAATGTGTAGATTGCTACAGTTTATGGTCCATGTACAGCCGGATGAACTATAACATTGGGTATCGGATGCACTGGCAAAGAAATCTCTTCAAGACTGACGTTGGAATCGACTGTACAGTTATAACTGGTTTAGTATCTATATCGACTTTTTGTACCAAGTCGAGGCTGTTGTGCTCGGAGGCTGACATTATTCAAATCTGGATTGATGTTTGTCCGAAGAATCTGAAATTGGATCTTGAGGTTTCCTCGTTGTAAATTACTGTATATCGTTCATATTTTATCAGGATTTAAATTTTGTATGTTTGTAAATGCTTTTGTACATCAAATTAGTACGATTATTGCAGTAAGAAAATATTACACAAACATAAAAATAGATATATTGATATGCATGCTTAAATAGGTCAGGGTAATGACCGACAGTTAAAAGTATTTTCGCCGATTGCCTGTCAGACCTTGTCATTAGCGGGCATTTATATCATGGTAGCAGTCTTCGCAAAGAAGAACTTAAGACTATAAGAACTTACAGGCTTCCATTCTTTATTAAGCGCCTTACATTAAGAACGTTTCTTAGGCTGAGAAACATAAAGGGCCTAATTTAACAGACATCTTCATGAAATTTTGCATGTTGACCAAGAATCGTCTTTAATTGTAGCCTGCATGTTGGAAATTTTGAGCCCCAAACCCCAAGGCTATCATGCGTACCTAAAACTAATTTTTGTCCCAAAAAGATATTGAATTGAAGTTATTATTCGTTAAGATATTTTAGCTCCATTCTCTCCCAAATGCAGGAAAAATAACCAGGGCTGTCGCTATGGCGGTGCAGGGGAAGGAGTGTGATCTTGGAAAAAGATTTGTTTTAAAAACAAAGTTTTTTTAATGCAGGAATGCTTCATCCAAAAATTTTCAGAATTGTCGGTATAAAAAGAATGATTCAGCCACATTATCGACAAATTGCACCTGAGCACCTCTCTTGAGCAGAATAGCTAGCGACAGCCATGAATGAATAATAATCGTTGACCCAAAATAAGTGTATAGAACTTGGAAATAAGAAACGAGAAAGTTGGATTCTTGAATAAGTAGGAGTGTCCCTTTGGGGGTAATGTTGGGTAGTGTCCAGTGTTAGAAATTCGAGACAGCTGTTCGTTTCGTTAGATGCCTGTTTCTGACCAGGTTAGACATGTATTGGCAAAAAGTCATTTTTCTGAATTGAATAATTTTTTGATATAGTTTTATAACTTTCCAGTCACTATTGTTGGAAACTGTTTGTCATGCAAAAGCAAATTTGTCTTGTAGAAAGTAATAAATTACTTCATGTAAACCTACACTAATCATATGCAAAAACTTGTCTCATCTCGACCTTAGATTTTTAAGACCTTCGCTTGCTTGCCTGCTCATTGTTTAACGTAAGGATATGTTATGTGCCTACAAACCCAGCTCAATCTGTGTTTGCTTGTTATTCTTTTAGATATCCCCTCATTTATTGATACCAGAAATTTTAACTTGCGTTTTTATTTATAATATTTTCAACTTTATTGAACTAGGAAAGAAATAGTCCCAGTTTTCGGTAAATCTAGCCAGTTTTTCATTAAAATATAGACGGAAACTGAATTGAATTTTCGAAGGCTTTAATCTTTTGAATTTTATTTCTCACAAATCGTTAACTAGGACCACCTTAGTTTGTTTATTAAACCAGGTTGCATGCTTCATTACTTTACAAACCTGTCCTCGTAATTCAGTTCGTACAATACTTGCCAAAAGTCCTTGGAACACCCTGCTATCAATAAAGGTTTCTAGCTGTAAAATACAGAAATATCCCCCCCCTCTCCCTCCCCCAAAACAATGTTGGTTGAAAAGCCTATTACTTACCATAGCTGATAAAGTAAGATTGGATGAATTTCAAGCTTTGAAACTGTTGTTATTCAACATTGTTTCAAGGGGGAGAGGGGGTGCCATTAAAGTAATGCTACTAAAGTATTTTAGCTTAGTGTACCAAGACTTTGGCAAGGATTGTAACACTTGAGACTAATTCTTTGATAAACAGACCAAAATTTTTTACCTCCACCGGTTATAGTCCTCAGTTATAAACATATTGAAATCATGCTTTTCTTCCCTTACTTTATCTTGTATTAATTGATTCCGTGTTATTTTGCATTGAGAAAGGCTGCGATAGTGTTTTTATATTCGTTGATGTAGAACACGATCGTTATTTTTGTAACCACAAATTAATATTCAGTATGTGGTATAGCAGAATCTTGAAATTAAGAGATTTATTTGACATTCAGAGAATTAATGGAATTAGAACGAGCTTACAAGTAGTCATGTAAACCACTTTCTGCGTTTAAAATTTATATGAATCAGTAAAATTCAAGCAATTTCGATGACAGCCATGAATTTTGAACCTGGTTTTATTTTTGCAAGCATCTAGAACAGGAACAAGTCGCAGAATGACTATATCACTTGAAAATTCATTGTCATATAGAACCAGAATTTCTGCAGTCATTTAATTTTCATATCGATTAATGTATTTATACAAAGAATTTATAATACCGACGAAGCATTATATTTTCATTCTCATTAATTATTGTTGTTTTTTTTCTGTGATTTCTTCCATCTTTATCATTCAATGAAGATGCAATGGTCGGCTTAAAAATTCGTCTTTTAGAATGATTTCGTTGTTTTAGGATGGTAATGTCTTTCTTACCAGGCCTTACTAACATTTTTTATCATTTCTTTATTAATATGTTGCCTCTGCTTTTGAAAAACTTAAAAAACCACCTTATACCGCAGCTGTTTACGACACCCTTCGATGTTTTGAACGTCGTAAAATGACCAAGGGTGAAAAAACGTTCAAACAATATAACACTCGAAGAAAAGTGACACGCCTGTTTCGTACTTTATTCTCAGTCAACCAGTGAATACCGAACATCGCTTTGTTGGTCTTCACATAACATTTAAGCGAATCTTAGAGATCGCAAAGCACTTTAGAATCGTTTGAGAGCTTTCTTTATGAAGAGGGGCAACCTTCTGTGGGTCCATAGCAGGGATGTGTTAAAATGGGTGCCATTCCTGACGTAGCAATAGGCCCGTTCCTGAATTAGGCCCAGATAAAACAGATGGGAATTTCCCTAAAACTGACCAAGCCATATTACAGGCCATTTTTGTGCTGCAGTAATGCGGTGGTCCACAGTTAAGAAACATCTAAAGGGGACTGGAAACTGTCTTGCCAGTGGTCTTTGAATGTAACAGTTGTTAAGATATACTCCCCTGCGAAATAGAGAGAATGAATTAAGAAACCACACCGTTTCAATATTTTAGAAAAATTCGTGCAGTTTATTTTGAAAGTAGGCATTCACTTGGCAATCAGAAGATTCCGCGTATTAAGCAGCTACACTAAAAGATTTTTTGGAGAAGTAATCTCGATTTGAATAGTTTTTAAACGTCAGCGATTTCGATAACGCCAGTCTCGAATTAACGCCTATCTCGAATTAACGTCGGTCTCGAATTAACGCCGATGTAAAAAAGACGTCGAACGAAGTTTCTAAATAAACGTGGGCGTTTATTTAAGGTATTGCTTTGTTCGAATATTTTTCAAAGATTTGATTTCAAATTACTATTGTAAGTCACATTGCGGTATAGCAAATAATTAAGAATTGTTGCTTAATATTTGGAAATGACGTGATGGTAAAGCTAGCTCAGGAACAGAAAAATCTGAGAGTGGAAAAATATTCGATCACTTTTCATCAAATGATCAAAACCGTCACTAAAATGTGATTTCATACACTGAATTTATGAATACTGGGCTCCAAATAAATAAGGATCTTAAATAAACGCCGGCTAAAAAAGGATTGAAAATTTGGAATAAATATGGTATAGGGCGTTTATCCGTTTATTTACATCAGGTTTGTTAGACGGAGATTGGTTTACATGCACATAGTGGGTATACCAATGCCTTACGTGTGGTATTCACAGAGGTATACACAATAGCAAGTAGCTGTGGAGGACAAGACATATGATCAAGGGAATTAAGGCGGGAACAAAGACGAGGTTGCTATGTTTGGTTGTTGTTGTGTATACCGCAGGATGCAGAATTTCGAAAGCAACACAGATACGAATGAGATTAAGCCAGGAATTTCTTGCCGCCAGAGTCACTTGAAATTCTCAATGGGGAGACAAACTAATAAATAAAAACACTCGAAGATCATCACGGGTAAGTTAACTTTGCAGTTTCCCTTAAATGTGCCCAATGAGTGTGCTTTGTAAGCACTGTTTCTGATCTTGTTGATTTTTGCAATGTTATTGGTTAGGCCCTCTAAACTATCAACAAGATTATTTGTTATTTTTTCTGGTTAAATAGTTTTATCTTGCAGTTAATGTTTTTAATTTACTTGTAATTGAGTTGTAAATCTGTCAGTTGCGAGAGTAAATATACGTATAGTGAAATTTCAGGTGGCATATTGTTTCTGCGTGTCAATACAAATTTTAAATATTTAAACAGCTAGTCTACGTCTATCAAATAGTGTAAACTTTAACAAGCTGAAGGTTATTGCATATAACAAAAAGAAGAAAAGAAGAAATAAATAAAAGCTATAGTGATATGATCTACCCCTCTCCCTTTTTAAATTTTAGACAAGCAATACCGCCAGACAATCCAACAACAATCACAAGGAACCCCCGATCCCTCGCCCTCCAAATCAAAAACATTCCTTTAATCTTAAGATTGATACACCATAGTAAAATTTATTAGATAACTGCAAATACTTGGCTTCAATACAAAAATAATTTGATCATCTTGGTCATTTTTTCTTATTTATCAGTATCCAATCAAAGTTTGGAAAACTTGAAAGGTTTTTCCTGCTATACCTGTAAAATTATTTCAATCAAGAATTCCTTTGCTCTTTCATTATAGTTTAATAATTTGTAAATAACAAAGTAAGTCAACATGTAGTTATCATGGCATAAGAGTTTAGCAATTTTATCTTAATAAGTTTAGTTTTGCCATGGCAAAAATCTTGCATTTTTCAACATCTTTATTTATGAAAATTTTAAAGTAACAAGGTCTAATTCATTTTAACACACCAAAGCATTGTGCTTGGAAGGTATTTCAACTGATTTTGCACATTTTTATGTACTTTATGATATCAGAAGAAATAATGACTTTGTGATCAAAAGCCTACAGTAGCAAGGATTGCTATGTGAATTTGTTAAGAGTTTTATGAATTCTTTGTTTCATGTGCCTTATACCTATCAATGTTAAAATACTGTTTGTAATTTTCCCAGGGAGAATGCCTAGAAAACTCCAGTTTCAAGTAGTACATGTTTCAGGACATGAACCAGGGTATGGCCCAAAAGAGCTTGAAGTGAGTGAATAGTTTCCTGTTTAATGTTGTTCTGTTATTTGGAATGAAAAACATATTAATGTTTTTCTGCACACAAACTCTCCTCATAGTACCATAGTTTGAGTTTCAGTTCAAAATTCAAAATACACTTCATACAATTCCAAAAATTAAAAGTTTTAAATTAGGTGACTTGAGGCTACCTCAACTCTAAAGTGCTAAATCCATGTCTGCTACACAAGATGTTGATTTCAGTGGAAGGTTTCTAAACAGTGGGTGGTACTACCTGCTTGAATAGCTAAACTCATTAGAAAAGTGGATTAAAGGGCACATCTTTTTATTATAATGAAAACATGTTTTGATATGTAGATGGTCCAATAACAGAGCTAGCATTCTTGACTAACTCAGTTATTTATTGCTAAGATTAACTTCTCTTTTCTAATCTCTTTTCAATTGCTACTGGTGTTGTTCTTTTCAAATTAGAAAATGGGTTTTTCTTGATTGGAGACAAATGAATAAATCATCTTTTTACTAAGTCCTGATCTATTATTGATATCAGTAGTGCTTTAATTTCTATATTTACCAATTGATGGAAATTTTAAGAAAAAAATGATTTTCTCTATGTAATAAAATTATTGGAAAAAACTATTTTGTTTTTTCTCTATTTGTTTGTAGCTTCATAGCCCTGTTACCAAAGGATGGCAATCTCAAAAGTTTGTTTAGATATTATTATTTTTAAAGTACACTTTATGTTGATTCAGCCAAAATCATGTATGTATAACTCTTATAGAAGATGTGGCACAGACATGTCTGGTCATTTATGCTATCAGCAAATGTTGTAAACCCAAGCTTATGTGTGTACATTTGTATTGAATAGTCAGATGAAACAACAGTTATTGCTACATCGATTATTGTCTGTGGACCCTCCTTTCTGGTCTTACAACAATCTAACTTTAAGATAACCAGACAAATTATATATTATTTTTTATTTCTTTTTCTTTTTAATTCACAGCCTTTACCTCTTTTTAGTCTCCTTTTTGTTTTGCTCTTTTTCCTTCAGGATTGAAAACATCATCTTAAATCAAGCTCATGATTATTGATAATGTTTTTTTACACTGTTAGTCTACATTTTTATGTCTTTTTCAAGATTTTGTGTCTACCCACAAGAAGTTGTATTGAAACTCAAAGAACCAGCAAATCTTCGCAAGCTACAAATTTTGTCACATCAGTACCTTATTGGTAAGACATTTATCTTTGATATAATGCCTCATTGGAGCAAGTTTTATTTGTTAATGCAGCATTTGAAAGCAAGATATTTCAGAGATTGTAATATGAAGGCAGACCCAGTCTGTAACCAATTATCCACAGTACTGTTCAAAACTATGCTGTTTTTTGTTACTCAAATTAGAGTGAAAATTAGGGCACTTTTGCAGTTTAATGCTAAATTACACATGTGTTGGTATATATACTCTGGTTGGATTTTTTAATGTAATTCTTAAGTCATGATAAATTCATTTAAGGTGATAAAATATTTTCTATTATAAGGGTGCTTTAATTATTTTTAAATTAGAGTATTACATAAAAAATATAGTGTTGAAACATTGTTGTTACATTTCTTCTTTCAGCCTCAAAGGTGGAGATATTTGCTGGTCTTGCATCAAATCAACAGGCACCATCACTGATAAACTGTAAATTTACCAGACTTGGGTAAGAATTAAAAGTGAAAGCCAAAATTGCCAAATTATTAGAACATATCTCCATATATGCTGAAAACTGGATTTCATCAATCCAAAGGGTGTTTATTTTTGACATAGATGTTTTTTTGGCAATCAAGATTATAAGATTAGTTTTCACATTGATCTATACAAATGATTCACAATATTTTGAAGTTCACAGTTTCTTTCCAGTTTTTTGCCAATATTTAGATGCTCAAATTAAAGAGCTTTGTGAATATATAGGTTGCAGCCATTGATCAAATACACCAGTTCAATAAGGAAACAAATTTTGAAAATCACTTCAAATTTCTTTGAAGCAAATTAGTGTCTTTGGATTAGGATGAAAGACCAAATTTTGGTCTTTGTATAAGTTTTCAAGATGCTAGTGACATTAACTGACAACATTAAAGGAAAGGAATTTTTGACCAATTTTGGCGACTAAGGATGGGAATTTTCTTCTGAACAGTTTTTGCTGTCCAATGCGCAATAACTTTTCAAATTGTATATCATCATTATATCTCTTATGGAAGGAAAAACAGTATGAGAACTGTACCAAGGCTAAACTTATGGTGGTGAATCCTAATCTGGGCTTAAAAAGGACACAATGAGATTTGGAGTAATTGAACAATGAGATTTGCAGCAGGACTGTAAATTTAATTCCTGTATTGTTCCTATACACCAACTATGGTGTGATTTTTCGTCTGACTGGGTTTTTTTATTGTGTTCAAGTTGTATAGTGATCTATGCTTTTAATTTCTTCATTTTTTTAGATATGTTTCTCTCTCAAGTAATGAACAGTCAAACTTTAAGGTAATTTTTCATAGAATGCCAAAGTCGAAAAAATTTGTATATCGTTTTCTCGCATTTCTTTGCAAATGAATTATAATCAGAAAAAAATAAATCATTTTTTACACTAGTAGCCTAAGTGGCCTAGCCTTCACTTTGGATACCAAATAAGCCTCTTGTACTGGAAAACTGGAAAGTGGGAACATAGTATATAAGGTTGCTATTATTCTGATAGTCCTTTGAGGGTTGACCAACAGTAAGCAGATATTTGTATTCAAGTGTTGATCAAAAGTAACATGAGCGGAAGATTGGTGTCAAAAATTAATTTCCGCTTACCTTTTTGAAATTATCCGATGCTTTATACTCTGTTTAATGTAAGAAACCTTTTTGTTTTTTTACAAAATTTCAGCAATTTTGTTCTTATTAAAAAAGCATAGATCAAACGAAATCTGTAGCTTACGCAAAACCCGATGTTATGCTTACGCAATCTGTAGCTTACGCAAAACCAGATCCTAACAAAAAGCTTTATTTGCATAGGTTTTAATATGAATGCAAAATGATTGCAGAATGATAGGAAGGTGTGGGTGAATTGGAACAAATGAGAAATGGCACTATTAGCTTGACCGATAAAATTGAATTCCTTAGTCTCCTCTTTTGTTTATTTGCTCCTTTTTCTGTTCGCATTGCTCGTTTTTCTGTTCGCAAGTTATTTCGTAAATCATGATGATATGTCTTGTTTTGTAGACGCGCGAGTTAAAGTCCGTCAGCTTGAATATAGAGTGTCAGTTCGTGAAATTTCTTGTCCACAAGAATCACGTTAACAAGCATAATCTTTATAATCAGGTCTTTATTTATTTATCTATTTTATATTAATACTGATTTCTCTGAAAATATTCTTTAATACGGCTACTCAAAAATTTCATTTACCGGATTTTTATCTGTTTTTTTAAATTGAATGTTCTGTCTTCATTGCAATTAATGTAAAATTTATTAAAATTAATTATTCATTATTAGCTGTTAAGTAATTTTGAGGTGAATAATGATTACTTGGACAATTTTGCTTTGATCCTCCGATAGGCCTAATTTCACCAGATGACAGTGAATTTAACCACAATTAATTCCACTTTAACGTGCCCGTTTTCATCAAAAGCAAATTGCCTGTAGATTTAATTTGTTTAGACATCAATTTACTCACCAATGAGACTTATTTCTTTAGATCATGACCATTTAATTCTAAAAACTTTGAACACCAGCAGTCTAAGCTAAATTAACCCTTCAGTGTCCAAATAATATTTGTCTTCCATAATGTTTGGCTGTTATCCAGGACGCAGTAATAGGAGTTTAGCCTCGACTAAAGGCATTAAAACCCATGAAACAGGCTACGCAGCCACCAGAACCTTTAAGATGCAGCAATTTGAAGAGACATGTAACTTCAAGGGCGATAAGGGTGTCTCTAAAGACGATTTTAAACCCAAACCTTTAAAGTTTCTTTAGCACAGTTACTGCATCAACATTTCTTCTAGAATCTTCTAGAATCGACAGACAGAACAATACACTATAAACCAGAACCTTAAACCTCTGTTTCACAGACCTCCCAGCATTTCCAATAACGGACATATTTTATATCGTTCATGTCTTTCTCATAGTCACAGTCTTTCATTAGTAACCTCTAGACAATAGACCGCTTTTTCCTACGGACAGTAACTAGAGTCCAGTTTGGTGCCGCTTATTCTCTGCCTTTTGCCCCTAATAGTTAACTAAACAGAAAACCTTACACAAGTCCAACCCAGTCATTAACTGACACCTCCAAACCAAGGTCAAACAATTTGCCCCTGCTGTCAAAGAGGTAACAACCCGACAAAGAACACTCCCCTACAGTGGATACCTCCTGATAGCAGCATCTCCCTACAGCATACACTACCCCACAGCAGACATTCCACAAAAGCAGGCATCTATCTATAGCGGACCCTTTTTCCTACAGCTGTCACCCCCCCCCCCCCTCAATAGCAGGCATCTCCCTACAGCGGACACTTTACGACATCAGATACCTCCCTGCAGCATCTCTCTATACCTTTTTTCTACAGCTGTCACCCCCCTAATAGCAGGCATCTCCTTATAGTTGACATCCCCAACAGTGGACACTTCTCTACAGAATACATCTCCCTACAGCTAAATTCTCTCTACAGCAGGCACCTCCCAAAAGCAAACACTTTTTATTAGCTCTCTTTTCTTAGGAGAACGAGCTATTATTAGTTCACACCAACTGTAAATAAGAAGTTTATTATTATTACAGTGGACGCCTCCCAATCGCAGGCACCTCCCTACTGAGGACACTTCCCTACAGCAGCCAGTAACCTGGATGTCGTTTGATTTATTCGTTTTTTCATCCCTATTCCGCATTCGGTATTCTTACTCACAGCATTCACGCTCATTGGATTGAAAATGAGAAAGCCATTTCAAAACAAACAAAAGTATTGTTTTTGGCCAACATTCTCATTCAACTGTCCTTCAATAAATGTTTAAGATCTACTTTTCGTCTACGCTGCTGTTTTTTTGTTTCTAATACTATTCGCTTGCTTTTTGCCAGATTAACGTTATAGCCGTCAATTTAATTGGAGACCCTATCGACGAGATGTACTCTGAGACCAAAAAAATGAACCTGGTGAGGATTATTTTCCATGATCGAAAAGCATAGTATAAATTTTCTTGGTATTGCTTTAGGCTCCATAATGCTTTTCCCTAGCATAAGGAACTAACAATGGTAATGTTGTGAATCTATTTTCATTTCTCAAAGAGAAAAAAGGTTGAAATTAAGATTATTCCATTACTAAATTTTAACCGGCTACAAATATTAATGATAAAGTATTTCCTGGTGGTCAAATATTTATACTTTCAACAAAAGTCAGCCAAGTCATTGTTTTTGGTTCGAAGTTAAACTCTGCACGAAGAATACCTGGTTGTTTCTTCAATGTTTCATTATTATGCTTCTCTTTCAAAACTCCTTTATCCAATGTTAAAACCGGACATATTTATAATAAGCTTTTACAAATATATTCTCTATACCATAAATCCTCGAATTGGCCCTCTCCTCCATTGAAAAAGCCCCCCCATCGAATAAGCCCCACCCTAGAACTAAAAAAATTGTCAATAATCCCCCCCACCTCGAATAAGCCCCCTCGATTTGTTGATTGTTGCCATCTGAGGTTGCTTTTGGTGTTTTATAGAATTACCACAAAAATTGATGCTTTGGTAGTAATTAGTTGAATGCTAATAAAGAAATTCCTACTAAATATACAACGCCTTTTGATAATGTCTTCTTGATGTCTGCTATAATTTTATAAGCCCCCCCCCTCGTATAAGCCCCCGTTCAAAAATATGAAAAATTAATAAGACCCAAGGGGGCTGATTCGAAGATTTGCAGTATCTGATTGCAATTTGGTGACGATGTGTCTCATCAGTCTGCTAGTTTGTGTCCTGCTTAAGTTAGTAATAACGGGATGCTTTCTTAACTCACCACTTTAACTTAACCTCAGAGGATTTTCCCGCCAATTATAAAATACCTTTTTGGAAATTATGTCTCCATTTTGTTTTATTCAACTTTTCCCTGTATGCTTATGTCTTACATGCTTATGAAATCGGAAAGCCACTTTCAAACAGAACAATTTCTTTTTGGCATCATTCAATTTTTGAAAGATATAAGGTATATGAGTCTGTTGTGTTAAGTTTTCGAAACATTTATAAATATAGTATTTATTTTTATAGCAGAAGATAGGCTAAAAGTTAGACTTGTTTTCTTTTACTCCGAGTTTCGTGCTTGCGCAGTAATCATATCAGACAGACTATATAATATATATATGTATCAATTGTTCTGTGCTGATGCACATCGTGCACATATAAGTCAAAGTTGACAACAAAATTTAGAATATCATTCATTTTTATGAATGAATTATTGGTCTGTTGGTTTGATAGATCATTTGATTATTGGATTTGTCCTGCAAATTACTAATTACAGTTGCATAATTTTTTTATGTTTTTTATTCACTATAGCATTTTTGTAATTTTATTTCTTGCATTAATGTTCCAGAACCTTGAAAAAACTTTTAAATTTAGAATTTGTGCCGGGTGGTTTTGAAATTATTTGAAACAGTAAATTGTGAATTTATCTTTTTTAGCAGTCAACAGCAGCTGAAGATTTGGTTGAAAAATTTATGTCTGGTGGTGACACATCAGAGCTACGCAAAGATATTGTACGAGGAAGTCGACCTGATTATATCTCACCTCTAGATGACTTGGCGTTTGACATTTACCAGGTTATTTTCATTAATAATTTGTTGAGCGTAAAGGCCGATTTCTATTTGACATTTTTTTGTGCGCGGGCATAGCGCCCAAATCTGAGCATGCGTAGCTAAGTGCTGCTGTCAAGTGGCAGAGCGCACAATAAAGTTGAGACCCTATTAACTTTCTGGCGCTCACAGCGTACGCAAAATCGAGACCACTTGATTTTAACTACGCATGCTCAGATTTGGGCGCTACGCCCGCGCGGACAAGAATGTCAAATGGAAATCGGCCTTAAGATCGGGAGCGTAACATTTTATTGCCCAAATTATGATGACCCTAGCTATTGTTGTTTGATAATTTCTTGAGAAGTAAGTAAGAAATTAAGAGATCTTTTGAGATTCCTAGTCGTAAAAGTGAAATTGATTCTTGTAATCAGTAGACTTAATTTTCGAGAAATCTAGTCAGAATTCTTATTAGTTGATCTTCATGAAAACAGAATTCATGTTTTTTATTTACGCTTACCACTTAGTGGAGTATTGACCTTTAAATCAACACAAAGCATCATTACCATACCTTTTGCATGTTTAATATAAATTATGCATAAATTAGTCATTTGTGAACCAGGTGACACCTGAGGGTTGTTTGATTGGCTTAAATTTCTTTCTTTTTTTATCTCAGGATTCAGAGACCGCCCAATTAATTCGACGACTTGAAGCTAAAAAGCAGGATGCTGTTCTAGGTAGGTTTGCTCGCTGCACGTGCACAAACCCTAGTATGTTTTCAAAACGGTTATTTGTTTCCTTGGCCAATTGTAATTTGAAATTTTTGTCAACTTTGGAAGTGTACTTCGACTCTAATACAACAATGAATATGTGCATTTTGTTTATTCTTGAAGTGTGCGTTATCTTCAAAATTCATTTTTTTAGAACAGTAATAGGTATTTACAAAAACTCTATTATAGGCATGTTTTTAAAGAAAATATTTTCATTGTAATGCGATGTCCGAAAACAGGCCAATATCGTTTTTAACTATAACTGATTTTTCTAGCGTCTTTTATCCATGTTATGAAGGCCGTAACACTTCATAAACAGATGTATTATCTGCTACGACTGAAAATACGAAATAATGAGTTGTACTTTTGAAAGTTTTGACTAGTGCGATAGCTCTTCAATTCCAATGCTTCATAGCAGGCTTTTGCGAATCAAGATGGCTTTCAATGTGGCTCTATTCACCGTGTTTGGTACTCCGTTTTATCCGGAATTAGCTCATAAACTGCTATTCACGGAAGGGCGCAAACATATACACTTAATTATAGACTTCCTTTTAACGGTTTTGTCTTTGGCCAAAGTTTTTTATGTGGACTCAGAACCTAGAGCAGAGAAACTTGAAGAGTGCCAACAGGAAAAAGGTGTTTGGACTAAAATCTACGATAAGCTGGTATCAATAAAGGGACTTGGTTTTCATCAACGATATCTCCAGAGCTTTAGGTGAAAGGATGAAATTCATAGTGAACATGTAATTTGTTCAGGTTCTCCTCATAATAGTTTATCTATAGATTTCGGAATAGGCGAGGCTTAGGCCTAATGGCTTTAGAAAGTAGACCTTGTAAGACATACTAAAGCTTTGCGTCAGATACTCTCTGAAAACTCTAAACTAGGAAGTATATACCCAGTTGTTTTAATTCTGTACCACTAAAAGTTATTATTTTTAATTATAGTTTTGCAAACAACATTGCCATTTTGAATAATCTATCAAATAGACACCCAAGCGTTTGTGTTAGTGCATTGACGTCAAACAATTTGATACTCATTTACAGTTGCAAATTAGGTTATAGGTTATATCACCCTATATTTTGCCTTTTTAAAAACCATGAGTAAAAAGCCATCTCCCGTATCATTTCTCCTTTATCACAACTGCCTGATGATCGGGTTTAGTGTGAAACTCGGAATTGTAACTTAAGGCCAATTTCCATTTGACATTTTTTGTGCGCGCGGGTGTAGCGCCTAAATCCGAGGATGCGTAGTTGAAATCAAGTGGTCTCGATTTTGCGTCTGCTGTGAGCGCCAGAAAGTTGATATGGTCTCAACTTTTTGTACGCTCGGCCACTTGACAGCATCACTTATCTACGCATGCTCAGATTTGGGCGCTACGCCCGCGCGCACAAATAATGTCAAATGGAAATCGTCCTTTAGAACCGTCCTTTCCTAAACACAAAAGCGTGTACAGCTCTACCTATTCGGCGTCGAGAATTTTATGACAGACCGGTAAAACAATTATTATCATTCCCTTATCATTTGAGATATTTTTCCATATAAACAGATTGAAAAACTTGCGTGTACAGTTATAGCATGATAAAAATGAATTGTGATTTTCTTTTTTGTGCAGAGGAAAGATTCGACTATGCCAAAAAACTGAAACAGGCAATGGCAGATTTACAAAAGGTAAATTATTGCTGAAAAGGTTTTTGGTATGTTTTTTTCTCAAACAATTAATGATGCAGGGGAAATTGTTAGTTTGTGTTAGTTTTACTAAAGGTTTACTGACATGGTAAATTTCAGTAGGATGAATCTCGTACACTTTTCTTGAAAATCCTATTGTTGTGTCTGAAACTTCCTAGAAATCCTTTTGTTTTCGTGGAAATCTCGTACGCTATTTGAAAGAGTGAATTGCCCTATCAATCATTATCGCTATTCAATCATTATGGCAAGGTGATCATCCAGCGAAAGATGAATTTTGCTTCTTTTTCGTAGGTTGGTGAGAAACTCGGACGGTTTGAGGTTGAGAAGAGGCGAGCTATTGAAATAGAAGATTATGATATGGCAAAAGCAAAGAAAGTATGCATTTGTATTGTTTTGTCTTTGCTTTCAACGGGCTCAGCCGTAGAGTCCTTATGGGGATATGGATGTCACTCGTTTTGTTTCTAATGTTCTTCTTTAGCTTCGTTGGCATTGTTACTGCTATGTTTTCTGAAGTCAGCATACCATGGCTTTTACTAAAACAGGGGCAGAACCACACATTTGGACTTGGTAATGGAGTATTTAAGCAAAGACCTTTCGAAAAAAGTATAAAACTAGCCAAGTGGCTTATCGGTTCCCCTATATTCCCAGATTCCCCTATATTCCCCTATATTCTTCTATATTCCCCTTTATTCCCCTTTATTCTCCTTTATTCCCCTCTATTCCTCTATATTCCCCTTTATTTCCCGATTCCTTTATATTCCTGTATATTCCCCGATTTCCCTCTTTTCCCCGATTCTCCGATTCCCCATATTCCCCGATTCCCCTTTGTTCACTTATAATCCCCAATTCCCCTAAATTCTCCTATTCCCGATATTACCCGATTTTCCTCTATTCCTAGATTCCCCTATATTCCCCGACTCTCTACTTTTCCTCGATTCCATTCCCCAAAGCCCCATTCCTTGTCCTAGAAACAAGCGCGTATCGTTCATAGAGACGTCCTATTTCCACGTTATCGTTATACATTTGGTTGATTATTTTACATGCGATGCTTCAGATGCATTTAACGTCATCTGAAATTTAAAGAACCGTTCAGTTTTCTAAAGGCGTCCGCCATTCTGGTGGTCCTTCTTTCCTTTAACTAGCTCAAGCTTTGTTATAAATTAGACTAACAGTATTTTAATTATGATAATTAAAAAGTTCCTGGCATTTGCTTAGAGGTACTCAGAGTTGCCCCTGTGTTAAACCACCGATTCCTGGCTTAACGATGGTTGCGTGAGTTATATCAAAAACAATATAAGGAATGATCACTGTAGACTTACGGACCTTTGTTCGCAGAAACGACGTCAATAACACAATTTGTTTTTTTTAAATGCACACCGCTTCGGCTCAACGGCTACACTTTACGACTTTTTACATCTGCAACTACTGTGACGACGACTTAAAAACCATCAGATAAACTACATATATAGGAATATTTAAGCAGGGTTTAATGTAAGTGGGCAGAGTTTAATGTTCTAAATAACGGAATATGATTTCTAAATAAGGGTAAACGCAAATAGTAATTCTTCATTTGTCCAATGCCTATAATTTACGTGGCATAGCTGATGCAAGAGAAGTGACGTGGCACACATTACGAGTCCTTTGCACGCGACTGGAACAACGACGTAGTTTAAAGACAGTATGTCCCCCATTATTCTCAGCCTCTCTTTCATGGCCATGATATTCATGCATCGTTGGTTTAATGCACAAGTAACCAATCAGAATGAAGAGCCACAACAGTGTACTTTCACTGAGCGAGTTGCTGTTAATTTTGTTTTGGTATCAAATGCCTAAGTCAGATACGATGATATTAAGATTAGGCAATATTTTGTCGTGTTCACCCAATATACTTAATGACGGATACTAAAAAGGCAGAAGAAGACCCTCTTGAATTAGCCAATCAAGGAGGGGACAGGCTGCCTTTAAACGTGGCTATACGACTTTTTAGAAACAACAAAACAATAACAAGAACAGCAGCAAAAGCAAATAATGGTTCGTCGTTGTTATTCTACACCAGTCCTCTTTCTGAAATAAAAGGGTACTCTTAATTTTAGTATCAAATACAGTTGGCTTTTGTTGCCTTTATTGAATAATATGTTTATTGTTACGTCAATCTAACGATTATTATTTATATTCCAGTTACAAGCTGATGAATATCGTCTGCACGTTTACAAGCAACTGGATCTTCCTGATTTGTTAGAAATAAAACAGGTAGGCTCTTACTGAACACATACAAAGATCCTCCTGTCACCTAATTGCAACCCCAAATAAGTGGGGGCGCCAGCAGCTAGGCTCTGGGGACAAAGCAGAGTTTCTGGGCTACCTCCTTTTACCGCCAGAAACATCCTTTTACCAACAAGGAAGGCCAATTTAAGGAAATGACCACGTCTAACTTTTCGTTACGCAAAGGCAGTTTGAAAATCATAGGATTACGTCACAAAAAGTACGTCGCCAGAATATTACCAAATTAAAATATTGATCCGAGGACGTGTTTCCCCAGTTGTCCCCTTTAGCGCTGCTATTGTCCAAGGCCCCCAGTTTCAAATCGAAAGAAAGCTGGCGCATAAGTTAAAAAGGCCAGAAGAAGCCAGCCCTCGGGGGTAAACTATGCCTAATTTTGGACGGGGACGTGCCATTTTGGTTAAAATTTTGGACCCATAATTCCGCAAATGTCTGAAAGAATGTGACTCATAATTCCGCAAACATGATGAAAACTACACCCATAATTCTGCATGTTTCTTCAAATGGTACCCATAGTTCCGCACAAATTTCAAAAACTGATACCGATAATTCCGCACTTTTTAGAAAAAAGGTACCCCTAAATAATGGAAGGTCCCCGTACCTTCAAACATGTTAATGTACACCCCCCCCCTCCCGAAAGCCAGTCACATTGCAAAAAAGTACAATAACAATTGGTAAAGATTTATTCCTTATATCTATGATTTTTCCTCATAACGATCTCATGTCTTTTGCGGGTGTTTTATGACGTCACAGTCTCAATCCCCTATTTTCTGGCTTAGTTTATCACCCTGAATACAGAATAATATCTACATACATGAAGTTTAGCATGCATATGTAGTACAGACCCTCAACCCCCCCCCCACCCCAGCCAATGATTGGTCATATGCAAAACTCTTCATCGCATTTATTCAATCTCGTATTGCTGTTCCTTGACATGGCCAGATTTTTTTCGATACACCATTTCACCGAGCAGCGCTCAAACTCACCCACAGCAGTGGAAAAGTTTGATATTCTATTGAACCTTTATAAATCAAACAAGTCTAACTGTCCTGCCAAACAAGCTAAACGTTAGCTGTGTCATCATTTACAGTGTGATGCGTCTCAATCAAAGGCTTAGTTGGTTTGGTCAAGGTTTTCTAAAGCCCTTATCAACATTCCACACCAAAACTTATCAGCCCTTATCAAAGTTCCGTAAACGTTCAGCCAAGAGCCTTCGATTCCTTACGGAGAGTTACACTTGAGAAAACCAAATTACACGTACTACCAATACAGGCACCGCGGAGAAGGGGAGCTGGGGGGCTTTGCCAAAAATGCAAAGTGTTAAGAAATGAACCATCAGTCAGGCCTGTTTTTATTTGGTTTTAGCCCCCCCCCCCACTTTTTAGACCCCTCACTTTTCTTATCGTTCTGCGGTGCCTGCAGTTTTGTGTTGATTGTAGAATAAAATTTCCGTTTGACGTAAGGAAGATGCTTTTCCTCCCTGCATTTCTACTACAATCGCAATATATCTTAAAGCATATTATTTACATGCATATTCAATTATTTATATTCTGCCGTCAATTGCAGAGTTAACTTACAGCGTACGTTAATGTTAACGTGACCTAGTTAGTTGTGAAACATTTTCATATATAAATCTTCCCTCGCTTATGTTTAGGTAGTATATAGGCTTTTGCAATGCAACCTAGAGCTATAAATTTACCATAGTCAGACAACCAAGATTTGAACCTGATTACTGACATATTCCGATTCAGCTACATTGGCCAAATATTTTGTTATAGGATCTTTCTTTCCTGTTTTATGTCTGTCAGTGCTTCAATATTTCTCTAATTTTTAGCTCTATTTACATTTCATTATTTTATATCTTATTTTTTCCTTTATTTTCTTCCGCGTTTGCTTTTCCAAGAACCTCAAGTACCCTTACTTCATTACTGCTGTAGATTGGTAACTAAATTGCGCCTTCTTAGCAAGCCTTTTCTAAGAATCTCCTTGGTACTTTCTTTCAACGTCTTGTTTCTATATATGTATATAATCGGGTTCAATGTTGAATTAGCAAAGGCAACCAAAGAGCACCACATTTGATACAGGTATCTGATTGGTGGGTTGATACCCAGCTGTGTAAGAGTTACAGAGGCCAACCAGTGTGGCAGAAAGCACACAAATAGAGCGATCACGATCAGTCCAATCGTCAGTGACTTGGATCGCTCTTCTTTTTGTTTTGGCACTGCACTGACTGGCTCATCCCCTTCAAGGGGTGCCGGTATCTCTGCTGCAACTCCTCTTCTTTGATACAGGACCGCACAATAAATGGCTATGTAACATGCTATCGTTAGAACTATGCTCAGAACACAGAAAATTGCTGCTGTCATGAAAATGTAATCCAATTTGATTACTCCTTGGTAACCCAGTAAGAAAAATACGAAAATTACCACCCATATAACAGCCAATATCTTCAGATATTTAACACTTTCAGCTCGAACTTGGTAGATAAATGGCCAACATACTGCGATATAGCGATCTATACTTATTAATGTGATTGTTAACAGTGCTATGCTACTGGAAGTCGAAAAGGAATATTCGGTGATGTTCGTCAATGTACAAACGTATACATCAGCGGCTTCCAAGAAGTACTTGATTATAAAAATTGGCTGAAAAATGCTTCCTATCAACAAATCACACAAGCAAAGGCTTCCAATGAGAGTATTAGAAGGGTTATGTAGTGATGGAGTTCGTATAAACATGATAAGGATTATCAAATTTCCTGCCGTTGCTGTTATAGCGAGAAAGCTACTTAACACGCCGACGATAATCGCATTGGTCTGAATACTCCACATCGGATCTTTATATATGCTTTCGATTTCTGAACACTCTAGATGCATCTTGAAAACCATCTCGCTCGAGTTTCCTGACATTGTTCTTGTTCTCCTGCAATTTGCTCTTCAGATTGCTAAACCTCCCTTCCTTGCGTGACCTCTTGATAAAATAATTGTAGTTTAATAAAATTCTCCTTACATATCCAGAGTGATTTACTTGGCAGCCAAGATAACGTATTTTTGGCACTCAAGTTGCAATCAATAGATTAACTAATCAATAGAGTAACTTATATGTTAAACACAATTGATTTTTTTGCCATCTCAAGCAACTTTTTAATGATGGAGTATAAAATGATGTGTGTCTCTTGTGTTTGTGTATTTGTGTCTGTCACAAACACGTCACTGATGCCAAAGTTTTGTCGATGAAGATTTTCTACTTACTTATATAAGTTCTCAGCTGCTTGATTAATCGTTCACATAGTAATTGCCACGGCTGGCGTAATTGCTACATTCCTTCGTTCAAGTTTTGTTTGTTTGTTTTTAGTCGGACGACACAATTTTTGCAGGTGTTGCTAGAGGGTAGCAGCATCGCAAAAAGCTCTTACCATTTTCATGACCATCTCAACAGTCTTCACACAAGCCTGTTTTTGTTAAACCTTCTTATTTTGCTCTATTTCCAGACTCATCGCAGTATCCACAATCGATATTCAACTTGGACAAACGTGACACTTTTTATGAACCTTTTTTTGGTTCTTGCTTATATGCTTAGACTCAGCAGGAAAACGAACATTCAACCTGCACTCGCTAAATGATTCTTCCTTTTTGCCATCTGTTTGATTGTTTTGAAGGATTCAAGAAAATCTTGATGTTTGCTGCTTTTAACCATCTGTCAGGAGTTACTGTTTCTGAAGGATTTATAAGAATGATGTCGGTAGCAGATTTTTCTCTTCCATTCAACGACAATTCAATTACTCACCAGTTGCTTCTACATTATGATGTTTTTGCCCACTATATATTAATTGTTGACTGTGTGAGAGGATTTTAATCATCAAAATACGTCTCTAGCACCCCCTTTCCTTTCTTCTCTTTAACCGGTGCAGTTAGAAAACTTATGTCTTTCAATGTTCCAAGCCTACCATTTCCCATGCTGATAAATATTTGATCGCTGATTGTCTAGGCCTTTTTTGCTTTGCTCGAAATTTTTCTCCAAAAATAGGCAGATTTTTAAGCATCTGAGAGTTAAATTTTGAAGAATAATCTCATCTTGGCTTAGTGGTATACCGGGTGTAACCCTCGCGAAATTTTCAAGATACCTTCATTATTTTTGCTTGGATCCTCCGATTCATGAATTAACGCTTTTAAAACCTACACAGGAGAACGTCAATCTTTTGTTTTTTCAACTGCTATTTCAGCAAAGAACCCTTCAACAGATAAAAGCTTTTAGACCGAATTTTTGAATTAAAATGTGGTCCAAATTGGCGATTGGTTTTTCCTAACTTACATTTTTCGCTTGCGGCATTGCGCTACCTTATAAGATTTGGGATGTTAATACGAATATCGTTTCTTTTGCAAATTACGAAATTGATTTCACAAATAACCTTCTTGTACTTTTTGTGCAATTATGTGCTTGTATTTCGAAACTAGTAAGGTTCTGTATTGCTAGTTTATAGTAAAGGTTTACGTTCAGCATGGCTGTTCCTTTTTATTAAAGGTTGAATCAAAACGACAACAGCCCCCATCAGTATTCATAACATCTCAGATTCACTCCAAACAACAGCAACATTCGGCAGGTAAACAGGCTTCTTACTGTTTAACTTTGTTGTACGAAGTTTCTTTCTTAATCGAAAATCAGATTTGCTAGACCATGTTGAAAAAGCAATAATCCTTACCAAAAAACTTGAAAATGTTCCCTTAATTTTTGAACGCATTTCTCCTTCCTCCGAAACAATGTCGAATAATTTACGCTTTATAAACATTCTTTTTGATGTACTAATTTTTCTTGTAATCAAGAAAGACTAAACATTTGCTGATCAACATTGTTTAGGGGGCGAGGGTTGTGTGCGGTTTTCTTCAAGAGGTTTTGGCAAGGATTGAAGCTGAATCGTAAGGCAAGCTCCATCGCCTAATATAACGATGACGTATCGCTGCATCCAAAAACTTTAATATCGACAGGTGTTTTTAGCATGCAAATAAAAACAATGATATTTCCTGTTGAATATATAATATTTTTATTTCTTTTGCTGTGGCTTGAAACAAACTTATTTTTACTATTTTATACTACACGATGGGTGATATTTGAAAGTAAAATTACATTGAGTCGCTATAATGCTAAATGAATAACCTGCTTAATTCCTTTTGCTTTTGTAATAATTATAATGTCTTAGTTTACTCAAACATCTTGATCCTAGCTTTCAATTTATTCGTTTTTGTAGTTCTAAATGAAGCGAGGCTACAAACGACGTTTCCTTCTGTCCAAAGTGATTCAAAGCCACATACAGTAACTAAATCAGAGTCCCCTGTTTTGCCGCCCATTGTTTCACCTGCCTCTGGACACATTCTCCAAATGACCACGGTTGAGCACGAGTCGACCCCTGTTTCGAGGCTGCCAAGGACACCGGATAAAGTGAGATTGCAATCATCACCTCAGGTAAGTAACTGCATCGTTTTTTGATGCAAAGATGGCTTTCAAAAGAGAAATAGGGTATTTGCTTTGAATGGTACTTTTTGCTGAAAGGTTGCAAGCTTTCTATCTTGTAGGAAGGGTATTCCCTGACTGTCTCCTCGTTTCAGTTTTTATTGTGTAGCTAATAATTTGTTGTGTATTATTATCTTTTGCAAAAGATATTCTGAATAATCGGACATCACTCATTCACTGCTACCCTGCCCCGCCTTTTATATCTGTATAAATGTTTGATGTGTCAATGTTATTTAAAAAGAGGAAGTCCTGATTTTTATTTTCAAATCTGCAAGTCATTTATCTAAGATAATTGATACCGGGCGCATCGACTGTACACTTGTTAGTTGCCACAAAAAATTTCAAAAATTCTGAAGTTTAATCAACGTTGTGTAGTCTCTAGTATTTTCCCAGTTTTCCTTTGATTTGCGTTAGAATTATGTTTCGCTGCTTTGATTTGCGGTATTACCCTATCTGCTGCTGTAGACCCGATTTTATAATAAGAAGAACTGCTTCTCTAACCTACCGAGAATTAATTACTATGTATATGGCGGTCAAGGATTGAAAGTTGATGAAAGAGAGATGGAACATAAACGCATATGATTAAAAAGATTAGAAACAGAACCAAATAGGCTATATGCAAGCTTATATGTTTATTTTATACTGTTTTTTGATGCAACGGATGCAAAGACAGGAGGTTTTCCATTTTCCAAATCGCGAACACTATTTTCAAACTGGCAGCGTTTAAGCAATTGTTTTCTATTAAAGTTATTTTTGGTTGTTTTCGTATCAAATCGATATTTTGAAAGTGAACCCTTGAGAAAGATGATGTGGTTTATATTTCTTTGATGAAATGATCATTTTTTCGAAACTCTTGTATTATGTACATTGCCTTCAATCTTACCAGCAAAGCAATTTTGGAACAATTCTAGTTACAAATGCGTTCAAGATCGTCTTCTCTCTCTCTTTCTCTCTCTCTCTCTCTCTCTCTCTCTCTCTCTCTCTCTCTCTCTCTCTCTCTCTCTCTCTCTCCTACTCTCTCTTCTCTTCTCTCTCTCTCTCTCTCTCTCCTCTTGTTCCTCCTCCTCTTCTCTCCTCTCTCTCTCTCTCTAATCAATGGTTTGTTTACATTTTAGCTTCAAGAATCCCGGAAGGACAAGGCCAATCCAAGCTCATTTTTTCTTTTAAAAGGTATCTTAATGCAATGTTTTTCATCTTTTTCTACGCAGATATGCAAAAGGCTTGCAGTCATATTTATTGAGTATAAGGCTATGGTGCAAGCTTGTGCGACGATTTGGCATACTCTAAGTTTCAATCTAGTCAGCTACATCAGTAGAGAAAAATTTTGATTTTCCACGTTGCTGTTTTGCGTTTTCAAATCTTAACATTGTTTGATTTTTATAAGAAAATTTTGTTAATGAAGCCAGTATTACATTAGCTGAACCTTGTTGGCTTTATTCACTGTTAGGTAGAGGCATTTCTCCTTGATTTTAATTTTGTATAGTGAATATAGTTTTACTTCATGGATGAAAGATGATTAAAAACGTGATATAAAATGATTCAAATACAGAACTTTTACTCATGGACTCTACTGATTCAGAGCCTTTGGCAATTCATTAAGTTTAATTTTGAGTTATGTGAAGAAGTCATCTCAATCAAAAGAGACGACCTTTTGTTAATGAGACATTTCTAATATAAAGAAATGGTGAGAGGAATATGTGACAAATGTAATACTGTAATTGCTTTGGTCTATTTGCGTATTTGAAGCCTTCAATCTACTATCTAATTTTTCATAATTGTTGACAATCTCGATGGTTATAGCTTGAACCTATCAGGTACATGTGAGTTAAATGTGCTAAGACACTTATCTTTGTGTAAACTATAGCTTTTTTCGGTCTGACACTCTTTTCCTTAATATTAAAACTGTCAGAACATAGATCGAAAACTCGCTAGCAAGTAGTTTTTTTTTTAT